TGATTCCAAAACCAGAGAAAGATCCAACTAGAAAAGATAACTACAGGCCAAACTTGTGACTACAGAGGCAAAAATCCTCAATAAAATATTAGCAAACAGAATGCAGCAAATCATCAAGAAGATTATACATCATGACCAAGTAGGATTTATCCCAGGAACTCAGGGATGCTTCAGTATATGCAAATCCATAAATGCAATACAATAAACCAATAGGGGCAAGAACAAAAATGACATGATCATCTCAATAGATGCAAAAAAAAAAAAAAAAAAAAGCTTTCCAAAAAGTCCAACTCTTACTCATAAAAAACCCCCACAGAGAATCGCAGTAGGTGGTCTACATCTCAACATGACAAAAGTCATCTATGAGAAACCAACAGCCAACATCACACTAACTGGGCAAAAACTGAAGGCCCTCACTTTAAAATCAGGAACAAGACAAGGAGGTCCACTGTCTCCACTCCTACTCAATATAGTTCTGGAAACATTAGCCAGAGCAATGAGACAAGAGAACGGAATAAAAGGAATAATGATTGGAAAGGAAAAAGTGATATTATCATTACTGGCAGATGACATGATACTGTATGTAGAGGACCCCCAAAACCCCACCAAGAGTCTTGTAAATTTAATTACCCAATTCAGCAACATAGCAGGATACAAGCCAACATCCAAAACTCAGTAGCATTTTTATGTACAAACAATAAATTCACTGAGAAAGTGAATTTTTATTAAATCACTAAAGATTTAAACAGTGAAAATTATGGTACTATGAGAAAAGAAATTGAAGAGGATTTGAGAAAATGGAAAGATATTCCATGCTTCTGGATATAAAGAACCCTCATTTTGAAAATGGCTACTCCCAAAATTGTTATACAGACTCAATGCAATCCTGATTAAAATACCATTAGTATATCTTCCAGAACTAAGAAGCTTTCCTCAAATTCATTTGGAGCCAGAAGAGACCCAGAATCCTGGGAAACAAAGGAAAGGCAGGAGGTATCACAATCCCTGACCTGAAATTATACTATAAAGCCATTGCGATAAAATCAGCACAACACTAGCATAGAGACAGACCTGTGGATCAATGGGACAGATTAGAAGATGCAGACACAATCACAAGCACACTCAGCCACCATATCTTTGATAAAGGGGCCAAGCATGCTCACTACAAGAAAGATAGTCTCTTTAATAACAGTGCTGGAAAAACTCTCTCTCCACATGCTGAAGGCTAAAATTAGACTCATTTCCATCACCATGCACTAAACTACAGTCAAAATAGATCAAATATTTAAATATTAAAACAGAAAAACCAAGCCTTCTGGAGAAAAATACATGTAGAAATCTTAAAGAAATAGGAGTAGGTAGAGAGTTCATGAACAAAAATTACACTGCATGGGAAACACTTCAAAGAATCCACAGCTAGGATCTCAGTTTTTGGAAAAGTTTCTGTACTTGCAAGTAAATCACCAACAGAGTGAAAACAAAACAAAACAAAAGAAATGGGAAAAAATGTAGCTGATTGTCCCCCCCCCAACAAACTCCCTCTATCTAGTACATATAAAGAATTAAAAAAAATCAGGCCTCCCAAATTGAAAGACCCAATCCAAAAATGAGCTCCTGAGAGGAATGTAGGAATGAAGAAATACAAATAGCAAGTAAATGTAAGAAAAAAAGTTCAACATCATTGGTCACTGGAGAAATGCAAATTGAAACAAGACTGAGATGCCATCTCACTGCAGAAAGAACAGAATCAAGAAGTCAGCCAATAACAAATTCTGGAGGGACTTTGGGGAAAAAAAGAACCCTTCTCCATTGTTAATGGGAGAGCAGATGGGTGAAACCAATATGGAAATCGTGTGGAGGTTCCTCAGAAAGGTAGAATTGGTCTCATTTGAGCCAGCTATTCTCCTCCTGGGTATTTTTCCAAAAGAACTGAAAACATCATACCACAGTGATATATGTGCCCCCATGTTTGCAACAGTGCCATTTGTCATAGCTGAATCCTGGAAACAAACTCAGTTGCTCATCAACTGAGGAATGGATGAAGATGATATGCTTCATTTTTACAAAATGCAGTATTAAGCTATAAAACAGGATAAATCTGAGAGTTTTGTCAGTAAATAGAAGCAACTAGTGACCATACTTTTGAATGAAATAAATCAGACCCTGCATGTGCAAACATCATATTACCTCCTTAGTATGAGAACCTGAAGGGCAAAATGGAGTCTGAAGGGTACAATAGATACTGGGAAAAGGGAATGAACTCATTCAAAAGGAAAGAGTTACTGAATTGAGAAGGACAGGAGAGGAAGTGGGGGAAAGAGATGTATCTCTGTATGTAAACAGAATGGTTCGGGCAACTGTACTGTGAATTTTTGGTGGTCTATGGAAAGGAGTAGATAATACTTCATTTGATTTGTCTCCTTTTTTTTTTTCAACTGTTTCTCCTTTTTTTCTTTCTAATTTCTTTCTTTCTTTTTTTAGGGCTAGTTCTGGCTGACTTCAGTGTAGTTGTGGTGTGGCTTGTAGTGCTGGGGATCAAACCGTGGACCCCTGCACCTGAGTGCATTTGCCCAAGTGGTGCTTTAAACAACTGAGCTATGGGGCAAGTCCCCTCTTCTTAATTTCTTATATCTTTCTTTTTTCAACTTTGCATGCATATATATTGTAAAATGAATAACTGGTTTGAAGACAACACTATTCATCACAACAAATAGTGTGAAATTCACATTATTTTGTTAAGTGAAATTCTGTATCGCTTGTAATTTTCTGTTTCAATACCATTTTGTACTCTTTATAAAATAAATACATGAATAAAAATTTAACTAAGACAATGAAAGTTTTATTTTTCTTATTCTAACAAGATATCTATATATATCAAAACAATTATATCATGTGCTTAATTTTACCTATTTTGATTTGACATTGGGGTCAATATTATGATTTACACAAACTTTGCTTAATATTACCATGATTCTTTTCATGCTTATATTGATATGAGTTATAATTCTGTATTAATTTTACTGTGACTTGTACCAAAAAACCCATACTAATGAATATGGAAATATAAAGGATAAAAAATTAAAGCCCTGCATCAGCTGGATGAGGTAGCCCATGACCCAGTACTCGGTTCTCCTGTCAGGGTCAGTCATCTGCGTGAGTCACAGGCTTTGTGTGATCAAATTGCTCTCTATAAGAGCGGCTGGAATTATAAGATGTCACAGAGAAAGTTCCTTCATATCCTGGGTTCCTCTTCACCTCTGAGGGCCAGGACCAAAATAATGGCTGTCCTCTTAGTTCATGGATCTTTCTAGGTTTTGATCTCCAAACCTAAGTTGTTTTTAGAACCCAGAAGAAAGGATCAATGAAGGTAGCATTACAATAGGCACAGTGAGCTTAATGACAATAATTTTATCTGAAAACCAAGTACCTTAAAATATACAATGTAGCTCTAGGACATTTATTTATTTATTTATTTATTTTGCAGGGTCTCACAACGCAGCCCAGACTCGTAGTATAGGCTTGTGCCACCACGCCCGGACTTCATCACTCCATCGCCGGCTCAGTGTTCCCAGGAGCGGGGCTGGCATGGCATGCGGAGCCAGGGATTGAACCCTGGCCCCTGCACTTACCTAAGCAAGCACCTGGTAAAAGGATTTTTTTTTTTTTTTTTGGTGGTGGCTCAGGCTGCCTAAACAGTAGTGCTAGCTGGGGATCGAACTGCAGTATCCTGCTCCTGACTGCCTTTGCATGAGTAGGCACTTAAACAACTGCACTAAGGGTAGGTTCCCCTAGGACTGCTAGTTTTAAAAATGTATCAATTATTTTATTAGGTTCTTAGTAAGAAATTTAGAATACTAATTTATGAGGATAAATTGTATTTGTCAGAGCAAAAACGGATCACAGATATCCCTGAAACTGATGAGCAACTTTGATTTTTGGTAAAATCTGTGTCTACTACTTTTTGATTCACCTTGCGTTGCTGTGAAATCTGGTATCTCTCTTCCTTAGTGTTGAAGAGCTCACCCTCCTGGTGTCTGGGTTTCCTCAGCTTCTTTTTGAAGTAAGCATCAGTGAGGTTTTGGGGATTTTCACTTTGCTGATACCAATTTTAGTACAGGTGGCAATGACAAATTTCTGGTGCATTCTTCATAGAGGAACACTATTAAGGCTAAGAGGCCCAGTCCCAAGTAGGAAGCCATTGGCCAACTCCTTCAGGAAGACCACTCTTTTGCCTCTGTGACACCCAGTGAGGATGATCAAGATGGTTCTGGGAGTAGTACTAGCTCCAAGTTTCCTCACATGCTGATTGAGAGGTTTCTTGCTGTGGCTCAACAGCTTTTGGGGCACATCTTCAGTAGGCAAGTATGTACGCATTTTTCTAAGCTTAATGACTTGGGTATCACCATTTTTGTCACCACTGACTGGTTTTGTGATTGAGGCAAGCACATTCTCTTTCTTTTTCTTCTCAACCTTTGACTTATTTATTCTTACTTTTTATTTTTATTTTTTGTGGAACTGGGGATTGAACTCAGGCCCTTGCACTTGCCAGGGAAGTGCTTATTCCATTGAGCTATCTCCCCACCCCCCATTCTTACTTTTTTAAATATATATTTTAGGGAAGGGTCTACAGGGTACTCAGGGTCTCACTACTAGATCGGACTCATAGTGATCCACCTGTTTACAGTCTCCCAAGAGCTGGGATTATAGGTGTGTGCCACTACACCCAGTCCCAATTGCCTCTCAGCGTGCCCCAGGGGCAGGGCCAGTGTGGCAGGCCTGGGGATCAAAGCTCCGGCCCTTGTGCCTGCTTGCAGGCACTTTAATATGCTGAGCTATTTGGCTGGCCCTCAATCTTTGATTTAGGAGCTGTGTACTTTCTCTTGTACAAAGCCTTTCTGGAATACATAGATCAGGAGTATCTACCAATTTCTCTAACCAGGACAAGATTTCAGCTGCAGTGGGGCTGCCCCTTCTCAGACTTTTTTTTGCCTTCACTTTACCCTTTTTACCAGTGCCACTAGCAGCAACCTTCTTGGCTTTGAGTTTCTTCTCTTTAGTGTCTGGCCTCTCGTTTTTTTCACCCGCCATCTTGCAAGATGGGAAAGAGAGCAGGACTGTTAGTTTTTATCAACCATGGATGTCTACTCTTTGAATCCCTATAGAATGCTCACAGACAACAGATACATAGCTCAATAGAGAAAAACTGAGATGAAAAACTACAAACAATATCTCAGCATGGAAATTGTGTTGAAGTTTTCAGAACACACTGAAATCTCCATGTTGGCATAGAACAGACCTTTTAGTTCATCACCTAACACCCAGGAAGCTCTTTACCTAATTTGTTGCCCTTTTATGGGATGCCAGTGAAGTTTGTGACATCTTTTGGACTGCTTAATGTCTGAACACCATTAATTATAATGGTATATCCATAGCATACATATCACATATGCTTTCATGAGAATCTTATTACTGAATGGTGACTCCATTTTGGCTTCACACAAACTTCTTATCACAAATACCTGGAGCACAAGAGGAATCCCTATCTCTTAGTCTGAAGGAAAGGGCTTAAACTGTTACAGTTTTGCATTTTAAATCCAAGAATATATGTAGTCTTTTTGATACAGGGTCTCTGATTCAGGTCAAGCTAGTCTTGAACTCACTTTATACCCCAGGTAATCTCAAACTCACAAGGATCCTCCCGCCTCAGAGGTTACAGGCATAAACTACAATGCCCAGCAAAGACCTGCATACCTTGGAGGCATAAACACATTTAATACACCATGTGATTACCAACAATTATTTATCATAGCCATGGGAAAACTCTTTTAAAATTTACTTATGTACCACAGCATCTTTTATATCAGATGACATTATTGTCTCAGTTTTATTAACTTAACCCTGTGTTAGTGACTAATGTAAACACATTACAATAATACATTTGAGGCAAAATCCTTTGGGATGTCTTCCACAAGGCTTTGGAGGCCATTAAAGCTTCCCAGTAATGCATAAGAACTGGAAAATATTCCCATGCAGCTGCTTCCTTATTCATCCAAAGGATTTTTGTTTAGCTATCATGATCAACTTCTGATGATGCATGGGAATGTGATCATAGCACTTATACATTATTTTTAAACAATGAGAGGCTCCTAAGTCATAGTACATAAACAAGAATGTGCATTACATGGATACAAACTATTCTAACATCCTTCTCACCAGCTGACAACTTGAGAGGAAACTTATTTTTAATTTTGATTAGATGCGTTCAGGAAACACATTAAATTACAGACAAGTATGTAGGGTCCTAAGTAAATTTGTGCTGGTTAGGTGTTTCCTCTAGCCTTGCTGTAAGTCGTTTTTCTACCTTCTTCCAAGTATGTAAATTCACAGTTTGTTTTTTTGAACCCAAAGACAATTCCCCTGAGCAAACTCGAGAATCTAGCAAGCCATACAGTTTTAATGAGCCTTTCTGTAACCTTCAGAATAGCTTTAAGTACATTAATATACAAATAACAAACTATACTATTTATTTTTTTTATGAATTTAGGACAGGGTCTACAGTCTACAGGGTCTCATTACATAGATCAGACTCGTAGTGATCCTTTTGTTTTCAGCCTCCCAAGCGCTGGGATTACAGGTGCACCACCATACCTAGTCTCAATCTATGTCTCAGTGTGTTCTGTGAGTGGGGATGGCATGGCAAGCCAGGGATTGATCCCCAGCTGCTGCACTCTGCCTAAGCAGGTGCTTTAGTCCACTGATTTATCTGGCCAGCCCACAAATAACAAAATTTAGATTCTCAATTACCTTTGACCCATTTTGCTTCTAATAATTTAGTAAGCAGACTTATATATGAATGGTTCTCCTGAGCCTATTTGCAGTATGTTTCACATGTGACAAAATCAATATACCTCTCTCCTGGGTTGCTCCTGTGCGTGTTTTTTGTTTTCCTCCTTGCACATACAATACAAGGTGAATGTTCACTTGCTGAGTAATAAATTCTCATTCAGCACGTCCCTGGTCAAACACCAATTGCTGTGTCCTACTCCAATCTTGAAACTTCAGAGGAGGCCGGCCAAAGAGCTCAGCAGATTTTATTTTTGCCATAGTTTTATTGATAAACAAATAGCAATGAGACAGTTTCAAATCAAAT